CAACTCTATTTTCCCTAATCTTCTAAAAATGCAGCTTGAAGTGTGTTGTAATCTCTGGACAAAGGCCTAGCAGTCAGTGGCCTCCTCCGTCCTAACCCATTTTGGATGTGGGCTGAACCCTGAGTCATTAGCGCTGTCCTCACATCTCAATTTTCTCAAGGAAAAAAGGGTCTGTCATTCTTTCATGCCTTCTTATAAAAGATGTTGCGACAGGTTACTTAATATCAGCTGCTTTTCAACCAGGGGAAGTCATCGTCCCAAAGGTGCAACCCCTTGAGTAGACCCCAGGGGTCGCTGTGGAGACACAGAGGGCTCCTGTCCCTTTAGAGGTCAAGTGACCCCCACCTGCCCTTTCAACTTCCCACAGCCCAGCTCCCTGGGGTGAGCACTACTCTGGAGAGGCCTCAGGCAAGTTAGCCTCACTTGGAACAGAGACTAACCAACTGCTTCAGCTACAAACCTGCATTTCTAAGAGGGTTTTCCTCAGTCTTTGAAAAATAACAGAAAGTAAAGAGGAAAATCCAGAAAGAGAATGTGGCCTAAATTACAAGTAACCACAATTAGGCACTAGCATTAGGACAAGCAATGATGCAATAAAAATGGGGGAATTAGAATTTGGTCTGTTGTGTATTAATAACTCAATCATTGTAGACATCAAGGAGTTCGGCTTTCTCTCTCTCTCTCTCTCTCTCTCTCTCTCTCTCTCTCTCTCTCCCTCCCTTGCTCCCTATCATACACACACACAAAGAATGAAATTCTTTAAAAATGAAATTCTTGAACATAAAGCAAAACTACTACTGTGTTCCAGCAATTGCTAATATTTTCCTTCATTGGGCAATTAGCCAATCACCCAGCAATCTGTGTACAGAAAGCCACATCCATGTAAAATATTCAGTCGAATCCATTCTACATGCCACAATTTCATGTGGAAAATTGCAGGGGAAATAGAGAAGGAGATTACTTGGTATTAAATGTTTAACATTCATGTGAAGCAGTTGCAATGAAAACCTCATTGTGATTTTTCAGGCTGTATATTTCAGTTTATCTAATTCAATATGATAGAATAAACCAACATGATTACTTACTTTCTTCAGTTGCCTAGCCTGGAGATTCCACTCTTCATTAGCATGAACTGCTTATTTTCCTTGCCAGGGAAATCCAAGATAATTCCTCACATCTTTCTCTGTCTTCTAATATCCCATTGCTACTGACTATACTTCCTATGCAGAGGGGCACAGCCATTGCTTAGGCTAAATGCATGGGGAATTTTGATGTCTTTAATGCAGGCACTTTATGATCAAAATTAGAGCGTGTATGCTATCCAAAATGATGTAATTCAAACTCCCACTTATTTAATTTTGTGATTATCTTTCCATTCATTGCTCTCATTGTAATGTTCTTTTGATCAAAGAAACATTTTATTTTTAGGTTCTTACTTTTAAAATGATACTACTAGCAACATTCAGTAACCCAAAATAAATACCAGGGTTATCAGGACTTCTTAAAAGGAGATTTACTGATATTTAGAGCCAGATAATTTGGTGGGGGAGGGGAGGTGTGCACACTCACGTGTGTTAAGGGGGGGCTACAGGGACTTGTCCTGTGCATTCTAGGCAGGCTGTCAATATCCCTGGCCTCTGTCCACTTAATGCCAGTAGCTAGCCTCTAGTCCAAGTCTGACAACCAAAATGTCTCTGGTCATTGCCAAATGTTCTCAGTGGGTGAGTGGGGGCAGGGTGGGGGCAAAGTCGCCACAGTGAGACCCACATTGTGTGCCTAATCTATCTGTTTTGAAACCAAAAAAGGTGAGGAAAGAAAGAAAACAAAACTTTTCATCTCTCCTCCTTCCTCTTTTCTTTTTGACTGTCCCACCCTCTATACCTAGATTTAAATAGTCAACCATCTGCATTCTTATCCTCTGTAATGGAGTTACTCTTTCAAAATTTCTTAAAAGCCTTTTGCAGTGTCATTTGAATAGATGCACCTTCAACTTCAAGTGGATTGTCAGAAGGACTAGAAGTCCACTAATCCCACTGGGTAAATGATCCGGTAAACCTTAGTATAACTCCACTTTGAGCCTTAAGCTAACAGCATGCGAAAAGATCAATAAGAATAAATTCAGAACTAATCAGGCCCCTTCTTTCAATGTTGACACAGTATTATTTATATCCCATAAATACCTTCTTGACTAAAATTCATCCTAGGAGATTGGCATCTGGCCAGTTCTATTCATATTTACTGTATTTATATAGTATGCTTGGCCAAGGATAATATTTAAGACAAAATATGCCTGAAGGCATATACAATATCTCTTATATTTTTACTTTTCAATCTCCAGTGCTAAAAATACTTCGTCTGAACCGTAGAAAATGTCCCACCAAGTGCTATCAGCAATCTGTAATGATATATAGCTCATTGAGTATAATCAGAGCATACTTGTAATATTTGAGCTGAAGTCACTCCCTGAACACTAATAAGTTGGTGGTAAAAAATGAACCAGTGATCTTTCCCAGGCCTTCATCTCTGGGGCTTCTGACCCTCGCCGGAATCACTGTAAGAAATGATAGGCACACTCTCCCCACAGCCACTCCAGTGAGGGCCTAATTAAAAGCTAGGCAGAAAAGTTCTAAAAAGGGAAAGCTGATTTAGAAGTCAAGGTTATGCTTTCAATTTGCTCGTTAAAAATATGGTAGAGTGATTTCTTCTTCTTTTCTTCCCTTTTTTTTTTTTTTTTTTTTTGGAAGGGTTTACTGTTCACTATATTCCAGTATAACCAGAAAGTGCTGGGAAATCAGTTAACCTACTTGCTATAAAATTATCCACAGTCCCTGCAGAGTAGTATCAGCCTCTATGAATATGACTTTCTGCTCCTAAATTTCCATACAGCACACAAGCGTCAAAAATGTATATTTTCCTGGTGGCAGCCACTTTTTTATATACTGGATTTGCAGAGATTTTTAACTTTTGTGGTGGCTAGGGTTGGGAATCCACACACTGATGTTCAGTGCTACCTTCTGAATTACTAATAATCTGAGAATTTTCCCAAATTGGTGATAGTCGAGATCCTCAGCTAGCACTGGCTCAGGTCAGCTCCCCAGACTGGAGTCTGCTTGAAAGAACAAAGAATTGACCCCCTTGGGTCACTTGCTCTCTCCACCTATCTAATGATGAGCTCAGACCTCCTGCCTGGTGTAAAAAGTGCCAGCAGTTCATTAGAGCCTTGCAGTAAACACGGAGGGATAAGCTGCTCAGATTCCATCAGACAAACTTGCCTTTCTCCCCAAATACCAAGCAACACTGATGCTGGAGAAAGCAACTGATTCAACTCCCTGTTTGGTCTCCTTGGTTTTGGACTAATTACAATGAACTTTCTTTCCTAATATCTCCTTGGCTCCACCCCAGGTAGAAAAGCTTTCCTTCCCCAGGGGAATAACCAGGGTGGAGCATTATTTATCACCACTGTTGTGGATGGAGCCATAATTACAATAAAATCAGCCTGCTTGCCAGGATCTCCTGCATCTGCTCTGCTCTGGAACAAGAAGAGGAGAGGCTGCAGCCCCAGGAAGGTGGCCAGAAAGACTGGGTTAGACCCAGCGGCTGACATTCTGAGTCCATCAAGTACAAGACATGGCAAGTCACAGAGCTCCCCAGCGTCAAACTAAAAAGAAATATTAAAATAGAAGAGCACCACCCTGCAATTAGTACCTCTAGGATAAAATTACCAAGATGGCCATATTATCTATTTAGGCAAGACACAGAGACTTTGTGCAGAGAGCCTGCAAGTATATAGGGCATGTTAAGGGGAGGAGAGAAATAGGCAACCAATGAAAAGTTTATGACTTGGGATTTGGAATACGCAAATGTTGAAGTGGTATTTTTTTTCTTTTTCTTCTTCCTGGTATTTAACCCTGTCAGGTATCACTGAACGCCTCCTCTTTCTTTTTCTTTCTTTCCCTTTTTTTAAAGATGTGAAAATAATTCTAAGCTAACTGTCCTCTTCCCTACCTCCCTAGGAAGTGCAGAATAAATCACTTCATTCCCATTGCTACTGGATGGCAGTTGGTTTTGAGGACAGTGCCCTCAAGAAAAGCCTGTAAGGAAAAAAATCGACTGTCTTCTGCTGGCTCTGAGATTTAGGAATGTGCCCAAGGAACTGCAGGAAGCCTTTGCAAGGGCAGCCAGCGGCAGGCTCAAGGGGGAGAAAGATAAACCCTAAACCCTTAAGAAAAACGATCTGCTACACCGGCGATCTTAAGAAGGCAGGCAGGTTTGGAGTAATTCTGGAAAACAGCATGAAGTAAAATCCCTTCTAGTCGTCAGAAACTAGGCTGTCTTCTACCGCTCCAGGTGAAATCAAAAGGGAGGGACCGGGTTGGAAGCTCTGGCCCGGGGTGGGATGTAAGGGCCACAGATTCCAAGCTGAGGGTTGTCGGTAGGTTTCCCTAAGGGTCTCCAAATCGGGTTTTGTCTTGTCGGTGCTGACATTTCAGGGGAGCTAGAGACAATAGCGAAAGCTGGGGGAACCCACAGGTCCTCACGCAAAGGGGCGCCTTCTGGAGAGGCTACTTTTGAACCCCCTTTTTTTTTAACCCTTCTTGCACCGGATTCCGAGGGAGACTCCAGGCCAATGGGAGCCGAGACGGCTCACCTCCCCAGGTTTCCCGGAGCAGCTCTGCCCCCGGGGGCGCCCCAGGGTTGACAGAGAGTAGACTCCTAGCTGGTAGCGGAGGGAAGATTTTTCGGGGGAGAGGAGACCAGAATCACGCCTGAGAAAGGACGGAGGCGTGGGGGGCAGGGAGACAGGGAGAAAAATCAAGTCTAAGCTCAACGTTTTCGAGCCTAAGGTCCCCAAAGCCCACACTGGGGACGGAGCGGGTAGGACGAAGGACAGCAGGGGGAGAGCGAACGGAGACCTGGAGAGAGAAGGGCGAGCCCCGGAGGAGGTGGGGGGTTGAGAGCAACGCTGAACCTCGAAATGGAAGGGAAAAAACAGCACTTACTTTCGGAGGGCAGGAAGGACGGCATGTCTATCTTGTAAACCTCTTTGGCGTAGTATTCCTCGTCGCTCCTCTCGCGTTCGCAGGCAGCCGCTCTGCGACTCGCCTTCTCCTGGAGCAAGTCCCGGGTGCTGTTGTAGATGGAAATCACCTCCGGGGGCACTTCCTCGGGCTCGGGATAGTCTTCTGGGGGGCTGGTGAGCTTCAGCTTGCTCAGGATCTGCCCGCGGATGGCCTCGATCCTCTTACGCATGAACTGGTCCATGTCGAGCGTGCTGCAGGTAGACAGGCTGAGCGCCACCGTCACCAGATGCAGGAGCAGAAAAGCGCTCAGCACACAGTAGTGCATTTTTTTTTCAAGGTGGAAAACTTTTTTTTAAGTGGAAAAAAAAAAAAAAGGTCGGGGGGTAAAAAAGAAACCAACAACTCTCAAAGTACAGATCAGGTAGATATTTTTTTTAATGCCAAACTTTTGCAAACCATCGAGCGTCAAAGTCCAAGAGGAAAAAAAAAAAAAAAAGGAGCTTGCTGGAATTCCTTTAAAAAGAAGCGGCAAGTCGTTTCCAAAGTGGAAATAGGAATGCACGAGGGGCCGGGGGAACCCTAACTTTGGGGAGCAGGATAAAGTTTCCTGGGAGCGCCGAGATGGGGGAGGGAAACAAGACGAGTGTCTCGGAGGCAGAAATGAATTTAAGAGGAGGAAACGGAGTTCAGTGTGTCAGTTTCGGACGCGGAGTGGCGGATCTGAACTCGGCTCCTCCGGCCAAAAGGGAAGAGAGGACAAGGTCCCGGGGCTGGCAGCTGGCGCGGCGGCGGGAGGGGCTCCGGGGCTCTGCAGGGGGCCCCCGGGCTGGCCCGGCGGGAATTTATATATTTAAAGAAGGAGCGGGGCGGCCCGGCCTTCCACCGCGGCGCCGCGAGCAGGAGCAGCCGCAGCTCGGGACCGCCGGGGCGCACACGTGTGTGCGCGTGTGTGCGTGTGTGAGTGTGTGTGTGTCCGTGTGCGCGCGCTGGGGGCGAGCCGGGCGCGCCGCGGGGAGGCGGGTGCGCGGCGCGGGGTGCTCGGGGCGCGCTCGGGTCCTGCCGGGCCGCGGAGGTGCCGAGGCGGCGACGATCGGGCTCCGGGAGCTGCGCGCTGTGGCCTCCACCCCGGCGGGTTACTCCACGTTGCCGCCGCCGCTGGCCCGTGCGTCCAGCCTCCAGCTCCCTCCTCCTCCTGCGCCTCTCGCTCCAAACGCCAACCCCGCGACCGACGACCCGCTGCCGCCGCCGTGGCTTTCGCCCCTGCCAGCCCCCGGGACCGCTGACTTGGGGGGGCTTTATTCCTAAGGGCGTGGCGAAGGGGTTCCCTTGGGCTCCCACCCTCTCCTGGTTTCTCTCCTACTTGCACTTCCTCGCTTCGGGTAGGTAGGCACTTGGCAACCTGAAATGCACCCAGTCCTGCTTCCTTCTCTCGCCTTTCTGCAGGCAGGCAGCCCCTCCGCGGCTGGTTCCCACTGCCTCCCTAGACCGTTATCCTACGTTCTCCATCCCCTCTCCATGCTTCTTTCACTTGCTTCTCTCTCTCTCTCTCTCTCTCTCTCTCTCTCTCTCTCTCTCTCTCTCTCTCTCTCTCTCTCTCTCTCTCTCTCTCGTCGGAAGCTTCCGGAGCTCCCCTCTGAGCGAACCTTCTGCTGCCAGCAGATAACATCACGATCTTTCCTGGGAGGAGAGATTTATAAGTTCTCTCTGAACCACGTGTTTGCCTTCAACAAAGTGACGTGCTAGGATTACAGTCAGAAGTCCTCTCGTTTGCTCAGACCTCCTTTGCTGGCCCTGAGCGGTCGAGGGGGGTGCGCAAAGGAGGGGGAGCATGGGGGAGGGGGCAGGAGGTGGCGTGTGCGCCCTGACAACAATGATTTACGGTATTTACTTTATATAGTCATTTTGGACCGGTCTGCTGAAGGACAAGCTAGCAAACCTCCCGTTTCTACTGAGCGTGGCTCACTCTGTTTCCCAAACCGAATCACTTGTTCTGGGATGGAAGCTCGCTCGCTCGCTCTGCATTCTCTCTCTCTCTCCCCCCTTCTCTCTCCCCCCTCTTCTCTCTCCCCACCCATCCCTCCCCCCCCCCCCCCCCCCAATCTCTGCAGTTACTTAGGGCCAGGCCAACACCAAGCCTAGTCCTCTCCAATCTAGGAATCACCTCCTACCTTTTCATGGAATCATTTTCTGAGTTTCCATAACATGTGAATAACACCCTGTCCCTAGGCTGATCTCAGCATATTTGGGTCTAGTCTCCTCCTTCATTTGACTGGGACCTGCTGAACACAGAGCTCCATCTTTTTCACCTGGAGAATGAAGTCTATTTGCTTGTCTTGCCGTCTGAGTGAATAAACAGATATAGCCTTTCTCTGCTGCCGGAGCCATTCTTGATGGCTTTCTCTTCACCTTCTTCCCTGTGCCAGACACCGGCGACCACCTCATTCTTTCCATGGCACACATCCAGGGAGCCGGACGCGAGTGTGAGGCTCCGGTTATGTGCCACACTTGACCTGGCATTTTCGATTTCATCCTAGTCCAAGTTAGAGGAACACAGAATAATTCTTGCCACTATTCACTTTTCCCTTTTACCTTTAGTTACTCAAAGTCAACATTTTCATTTCATCATGATTCCGTGCACTTGCCGACTGCACAGATGATTGAAACTGGAAACTGTTGAATTTTCCGCCAAACTCAAAGTCTCTATATTATTCTGTAGTTCAGATGTTCCTTTTATTGCAGAAAGTCATTGGGGACCTTCTCTGACTTGGAACTTACATTGTACATGTGCATGGGGCCTAGGGCTGTATGAGCAGTACAAGTAACAATAGCTAACACATATTCCAGTTAGTAACGCGGTCATATACAACCTAGAAAGCGTGTATTACTGTAATTACTCTTATTTGCCAGTGAGGAGTGGACAATAGGTTATGGGTCTTGCTCAGACCCAAGTCAGGGGTTGAGCTGAAATTCGGTCAGGATGCTTTGCCTCTGTTCTCACCGATTCTGTACTAAAAATCACCAGCTTCAGGCCCCTAGGTCTGGCAAACAGGGGTTCTGGTGATGTATATTTGGAAGAGAGCAAGTGCACTCTATTCCCCTTACAGATTTTTCAACTCCTAACATCACTTAAAGCCTCTGAGAATCTTGCAGTGAACTGTTCAACTCTTTCAAACCAGCATATTCCAAATTCCCCTGAGCTTGGAATTTTCTCTCTATTAACACATTTTGGAAAACTCTGAAGTAAATGACTTGTTCCAAGCTACTTCAGAATAATTCTAGAGGTGATTTATCAGCAGTTTCTTTTTCTTGAGGCCAATTTCAAACTGAAGCAACTTGAAAGGAGTTCGATAACCAGCAGCTCTTCCAAGAGTCTAGGCAAAATATAATCAAGAGGAGCTTCTTTGGGGCTAGAGGTTTCTTCTAGAGACCTCTAGATGTTCGAGAGTCCCAGTAACCCACCTGTACATGAAGCAGGCAAGAGAACATTCTTACATTGGGGCAGTCATAGAGCACAGGGAAGGAGCTGTCTGTGACCCGGAGGTGTGAAGATGGTGCTTTGGAATAGGGCTGGAGGCCTCAGAATGCTGTCACTGATGATACCACACTCCTCCGCCGAGGACCTGGCACCCGCCTCCCCTTGAGCCAGGGCAGCGACCTTCTTGGTATAGACACACCTGAGCTTACGAGGATGCAGATTAGATGTGGAGAGAGCAGCAAAAGTCCACCTACATCACTTCTAAGACAACAACCTAAGCCATAAATTCTTTTGACAATACCTCCCTCCCCAACATAAACACACACACGTTGTCTCTAATTCTTAGCTCCTTCAACACACCACTTACTTAACAACCTCTGAGACCCTTGACCTGTTTTAAGAGGCTGTTTTTAATTTCCCCAAAGCCCAGGGAGAGCTGGGAAATCTGCTGGCTGGTAGGAAGTGTAGCATCGTAAGCAGGAGAGGAATCCTCCTGCACAGGTGAGTGCTCCTTTGAGGGCAGAAAGGGCAAGATGCATAAATGGATCCTCCCTGCTTTTGGAGGGCTCTTGGAATGGTTTAATGTCCATGTTCAAGATGTAAACATTGACTACAGTTATGAAATCTCCCAGTGCGCTGGGGACTTGACACGTGCTCATGGTGGAGCCTCTTTAACTCCTGGAGAGGCGCCAGTTCTCCTGACCACCCCAAAAGTTATCTAAGCAGTGTAGACAGTCCTGATTGGCCAAAGGAAGCAGGAGAATAGAGGGGTTAAAAGAGTAGTTTGCAGAGGTACATTTTTTCGAGTTCAAATTTCAGTCACTTTCTGGCTTCATGATCCTGGCACAGTTACTCATTTTGTGTCAGTTTCTTCCTTTGTGAGGCGGAACACTCAGTGCCAACAGCGCGAGATGGTGTCGCACCTGTCACACAACCTGGCACTTTACCTGCTCTTCACGTGTCACCACCATTAGCTCACCCTCTCTCATCTCATCTTCCTTTTTTTCTGGAATAAGAAAACACATGGGGACTCTGTGTTCCTCAGATACAAGCAGATGAAAAACCCAAGGAGACACCTGTCAGGATTTATTTCATGGTTGAGTCTCCTAGTGGGCTCTGTTGAGGTACATGCTCATTGAGGTCTTTTAAACATGACAATATTTTGCCCCCAGTAATTGTAGGAAGAAAGGACAAGAAAATGGACTTTTGGTGAATAGAATCATGAATGGCTGCCCAAGTTTAGTAATATCCAAATTCAAGATTGACTTTACAGGTTGAGATGGAATTGTGTTATCCTGATCAGAAAGGTAGAAGGTACAGCTTTTTCAGCCACTAGCCCTTCTCTGCTCTCTGCTCACTTAATGGGACTGGGCACTTAAGTGATGTGGCGTTCTTACAAGAGGCTAAACAAATGTCTGAGATCAAGATAACTAGGACTCCCTGTCCTGGAGTTTTACCCCTACAGAGCACAGGCAAGAGATCATAACCCAGATCTCTGTGCAAACACTGATGAAAGAATAACTCCATTTGTAATGATCCTGAAAGCTTCCCATAATGGCTTCAAACATGAAATCCAGGAGGTGGGAAAAAGAAATACAGGGGACTCCTGTCATTGATTACATTTCAATGTAAATTGTGACATTTGGTACATGTAAAATGGGAAGATAGAGCAAAAACCTTTTTTTTTCCTTCCAATTTTGTCTTTGATCAAAAAATGTTTGGTCTGTAACAAATTTTGTCTCCGATTCTGCATGCAGAGCTCAACACCTTTCTGTTCTCAGAATCCTATAGTGGAGTGATCAGTACCCCCATCCCTCCACCCCCCAAGCCAAGACCATTCTCTATCTTGTAGCTATAGGTCAATCTAAGAATAAACTGATAAGGAGAAAGAGGGAACAATGGATGTGCTCAAAGCTAAGAGACAGGGACTAGGTGAGAGGAAGCACAGCAGCAGGTTGTGAGGCTTTATGAAGTGATCTGTGATATACCGTGGGCACCGTAGTCTGACCCTTTGGACATATAATTAGCTGCTGGCCTATTGCTTGCCCTGAGACCAGTCCCTGAGGAGGGAGGTCTTTGTTGGGAGCCTGCCTCTCAGGCTCCCCCCCCACCCCATCAGTTTCTGGCTTCTGCCCCCTGGTGAAATTCATTCACTGAAATAGCATTTAATGACTGATATAAATAGCATTTAGTGACTGATAAAAATAACATTAGCGACTGATATAAATAAATGAACATATGGGGACAGTTGTCGGGTAGTTAAACTTGGATATAGGCTTAATAAAATACTGATGTTGATAAAAAAAGAAGGCGGCAGAATTTTCCTTAGTTTTCAGGGTAGTTTGATTCTTGACTTACAGAAATCCTACTTTCAGGAAAAGAAGCAGGCGCATACGCACCTAACCATCCCTCTCCCACTATACTCACCCACCAGTCCATCGTCCCCAGACACACATCATAAGCAGGGAACCAGGCTTAGGTTTCAAGGAGAGAGGAAGAGGGACAAGTATTATCACAATAAAAATAAGAGGTGAGGAAGGGAACGGGAAGACAGATGAAGGTGAAAACATGGAGTAACCTTTAGTTTTTAAGACATGTGCTCTTTGAGTGAATTTGTCATCCTTTCAGTGGGCTTCATAGGTTTTGTCCAACTCCGAATAGGTAAATTTCCACTCGTCACACCGCCCGTTTATATTCCCAACAATCTTGCTTTTCTGTTGCCTCAATCATGCTGCAGTGAAAAAAGAAAAATAAAACAAAAGCCAAGAGGAGATTGTAATTACACTTTCAAAGAAAACCTTGATGTATTTTTTTTTGTTAGAATGGAAAAGCAGGAAATAAGTATTTTAAGAAGCAAAGTATAAGTATGCTTTAAGAAATCTGTTTAAAAGCAAAGTCAAATGGGTCGTTAGGATTTGTAAAACTGCAGAATAATGACCACAAACTTTAGTGATGTTTGTTTCAAGTCTGAGACAAGAAAGTTCTTTTAACTAGGGTTGAACATATAATTTATCACACAAACCTGAGCACATTCTAGAGAAAAGAGGATGCCATTCGTAAACATATAGCGACAGTCCCACTTACCCTATTTAAATGGAGCTACTTTAAACTTGGAATCTGTAACATCAGTCAGACATGCATTTCTTTTAGTTACAATAGTCATCAATTTTCCCAGCCTTTTCTCTGTTTGCCTGTACTGCAGATTAGAATAATCATCATCAGAGTTTCCTTTTGAAAATACTTGTACGATTGTAGAGTTGGTAAAAATATGCACCCCAAAATAGGAAGCCCCTCACAGGGACTTGGGTAACCTGGTTTTGAGTGGCATGAAAGTCCCTCAAGGAAGGAAGGAAAGAAGGAAGAAGATGAAGGCTGGGGATGAGCATGCATTTCATCTATTCTGTGTAAAGTCCAACCATTTGTCAATGAAGGAAAAAAAAAACAATGGATAAAGAATTTGAAAAGTATAAAAGTGAATTCTGTCCCCTTCCTATTTCAGTGTCCGGAACGGCACGTTCCTGTGTGCCATTTGGAGAGCGGGCCACTTAGTACTTTTTGCACAGTAAGAACAGTAAGGGCTTCACGTCACCACCGACACCTGGGAAGTTAACTTTAGCACATGCAAGACTTGTTTCTGATGAACGTGAACATTTTTGTGACTCAGAGTTCTACGATTTCTGCTTTTTTCTTAGATTCCGCAGTTCTGTCTGTGTCCTTGTAAGCACAAAGGCGTTACCTTTACGGTTTCTATCAAATGGCAAGCTGTTTACCACACACCAAAGAAATAAATCCCAAAATGGGTGTGTGTGCTGTGACCTAAAGAGATGTCAGCCATATACAGATGATTCTGGCTGCCTGGTTATTAGAGATAACAAGTTTTGTTCTTGGTTTCTTTAAGAGGTCTTTGTTTTTCAATGTCACATTAATTAAGATCATTAAAGGACAATTAAATCTAATCAATCCTGTGGCAGCACTGATTGTTCAGAAACTAGACACTCATCTGGTTGTGGGAAAAAGATTTTTTAATCTAGAATTCTAAAATAGCCTGACTCATGCCACCTACTGGAGAGCAGGGGTATGGCTTACAAGTTTCTATATGGAGTAAGCCAACATGTGATTATCTTCTCTGAGTATTCACCTCACTGGGAGTACAGTATCATTTTGCTGTATAATGTTTTCACACTCTCACATGTTTAGCAGTTTCACCCTAAGAATATTTTCCATTTATCTGCTCTTTTTCAGACTAATGTCACTATTTGACAAAAAAGGAAAACTATTATTTCACATACATATGGGAAAACAGGTATGTATGGGAAAAGATCAGGAACAATGGAATTTCTTTAAAGTGTTAGTTGCCTGCTCCAGTCAACAATACTCAAAGGTAAAATCTAGTCTTCATTTCTAAAGCTTACTTGGAATATCTAATAGCAAAATGTCAGCACTGACACTTTTTGAGTCATCTGATGTCATAAAATAGCAAAAAGCAGCTTATGGACAATATGTATGATAGCGATAAAAGGAGCAAAGTCACATCCTACAGACAAAATCATGGGCCACCACTCTGCTAGTTACAATAGTTTCATTTCTGCAGCATCCAGAAAACTAATGTGAAGTTACCAGACATACTCAAACACTGTAATAAATTCTCCAAGTACACTGTATAATAAACTGACATTAATAATCAAAATGAAGCCTGGGGCGGGGGTTAGGGGGATATGCTACTTCAAATTCTAAATGCCAATGCCTGGAAAATTTTCACCTTTTGATATGTGGTGTCTGCTTCTATTTTCCACTTGTCATCGGTTCCTATCACAGGTAACTGACCAAAGAACAGAACATGCCCGTTCATTTGTTCAGAGCAGAATTCAATTTCTAGAATCTCATTAATAAGATATAAATATCATCTAAAACATAAGGACTCACTCTTGTGTATAGCTGCTCTGCCACTTGGGCTTGGACTTGACCATATTGGCTGTGACTTTCAGCAAATTAATCTACCGCCAGCTTCCAACCTGTGTCTTGGGGACAATGGCAGCACCAACATTATAGGGCTATTAAGAAGACAGTATGAGTTAAGGAGATTATAAACCATAAGCAGAATCTGCCACATAATAAACACCATGTAAGGATTTGCTGTTATTACTTTTCCAAATTTTCCTATTTGTTCTTTTCCAACTTTTTCTATTTGATTGACTGATGAGACTATCAAAACAAGATGCAAAATGGCAATCCTGATTTCTAAATAAATCCAAAAAAAGAGGTCCTCATTTCAAAATAGATTTTTATTAATCAAGAGGGCACAGAGGAGCAGTAGAGATACATGAGAGGTAAAGAGCTTTTTGTGTGTATTTGTTCAATATTCTAAGCAAAGTAGTTAGTAAAATTTAAAAGCAAATCATACTCTTCATTCAGTCCTCTCCATATCAACCCAGAAAGTTCTATTAGCTTTTTGTATGTCAGGATCTTAAGTGTCAGATTTGTCTTTCCAGATGGACTTCTTAAAAAAGATTTTACACTATTCGTTTTTTACATTTTCAGTTCGTGTATTATTTACTGGCAAGTGCCCTTAAGGGCTGCCAGCAAGGGCAGCAGCAACGGGGAAGCACTAACGTTCACATCCGTGTCCTATCACTCAACTCATACTTACTGTGCCTTAGATTAAACCAATAAATACCGTAACGCTCTTTACAAAGCTTTTCTTTTGGTAATCAAGATCTTTTCCTGAGGAGGGTTCCAGAAGTAGAATTATTAGTACTCAATAAGTACATACTGCCTGACGCACTTTAAACTTCCAATGGGGAGGGGGGGCGGTGTCCCTGGTCTAAAAGAGGAGCTTTACAGTTAAGTCGGAGATGAGTGACACATCTCCAGGCATAGCACTCAGTTCCCCAGATGAACAAGAGAACATTCTTGAGGCTTCCTCCAAAGCTGTGCTGGACACACTGCAGACATCACTCAAATCCTTCTGGTCCCACAATACATCCCTCCACCGGATTTCCATGCTGGCTTCAAAGGTTGAGGAAATCAGGGTGTCAAGGACAGAGAGCTAGTATAAGGGCTACCTGAACTCTGAACTCAGCTTTGATTCCAAAATTCTGTTGTCGTCTGCCAGTGAAGGCTCCTATCTCAAAAACTGCCTAATGTATATATATTCTCACTTATCAAAGAGAGTAGCAGGTCCTAAGAACCAAATTAGGGCAGTTGTGTGTCATGTGGTGTAATTATTCCTGGCTTCTTGCCATTTTCAGAGGACACTATTACTTGAAACTTTTGGACTCTGAGGTTTTATATAAACGCACTTGAGCGCCCAGTGTTATTGCACGAAGACCAACAGCAGGAACAGCCGCTGTTACGCTTCGGGTATCTCAGGGTTTCAGGGCAATGGCTGCATCTGGTCACCTCGATGATGTTTTCAGATCTGATATCCACCCACTGTTTATGTCCATTCAGAGGGAGGGGGTGCTTTTATATCAAAGACCCAAGTCTGGTTTCGCAAGCACTAAGCGGCAACTGTCCAGTCGCCCCGGGGGAACCAGCAGCTGCAAGGCCACCCACGCGGAGGTCGCAGCTCTCAGCTGTCTCTGGGCTCAGCCAAAGGTCCTGACCCCACACAAATTTGATGTGCCTGCTTTGATGTTTATGAATTGCTGCATTAAAAATGCAGGATAATGATGCAGGGGTTAGAGAAACTGTTATTTATACAAATGTGGTTAACACCTCATCATTTTGAACTTGTTGTGCTAATAATGCTCATTGTGCTCTGTTTTTTTTGGTCCCTGCCCCACCCCACCGCCCCCAAATCTGCAACCTGCATTGGCTCTGGCAGGATATCGGGTGTGTTCTGGAAGTCTGGAGGTGTTGGACAACTCTCGGGTCCTACACTGCAGGAACTTCAGGAAACCTAAATAAGGAGGCTCCCCAATCTGAGTGCAAAGTTTGGGATTTCACGCAACTTAGATGGTATCAGATTCTGCTGCTCTGACAGTTCTCACGCTGCTCCTTCTAGTACACCAGAAACATCCTCTTTTCGAGTACAGTATTAAGATTTAAAGTTTGGTGTGTTAATTCTGAAAGCTGCAGATGAGAACACTGAAAAATGAAGGTAACAGTGGTTACCTCGGGCAATAATGTAATCATTAAGCAAAGTATCTTTTCCAAAATAAAAAGGAAAGAGACCAGTAATAACCTCATCAATGAAACTGTCAGTATTTTTAGAATGCTGAAATTGTATCTCTAAAATTTAATGGGAAAAACTCAATATAGACTTATGATCCCCAAATTTATTTTTATTGTACAAAATATATGCTTTGCAATTTTTTTCTCTTCGTATTAGGCAGGTCACCAATGAAAATTTAGTTAAAAATTCACTTCCTCTGCATCACTAGCCACATTTGAAATGCTACAATGGCCAGTAGAGAAATAAAACACGCCCATCATCATGGAGTGCCATCATCATGGGACTTAGAAACTAAAATTATAAGGAATTACAGCCATTCTTCTAATAGAATCCTTGCTTACTTACTCAGATGAAAATCTAAGAGCATCTGAAATTAATACATACTTGTGCTATTGAGGAAGGAGATCAAGAAGAGTGAGGTGACCACACAGGACTAGACACTCAATAAAACATGCTGTGACGGTCTCTGGGGCATGTCTTTTGAACACAAGGTTCATCACACATCAAGATAAAAAACCCATCCTAACTTTCTGAAATCATGCTTAGTAGACTAGATAAAAAATATGAATGGGATACTCTAAGCTGGTAAGCACTCTCTGGAGAAACTAAAATTATTTAAGGATTGTTAGAATGTATCGTCAATCTTTAACATTCTGATTTGGTTCAGAACAATGCTTAGCCTTTTGTGAAACACCAGTCACTGATTCTAAATGTTTTATCGGCTCCTCAAACACCATTCTACTTCCAAATCTGCTCAGAGGTCCTCTCGATTAATACATTTCATCAAGTTTCAGAAAAGCTCAGCCGGCAAAAATGTTCACCAGGCCTACCTTTGCTGCAGGAGTCAGTAAGATTCATCTCTCCAGCTGGCCAAAGTTCAGACTCCTGTTTTCTTGGGGAAGGAATGAGAGAGCTTTTTGTAGGCATGGAGTCGTTCTCTCTCCTGTTTCCAAAATGTGTTCATACTGCCAATTCACCTCAAATAGTCTTCGTACTCATAACTTCTGCAGGGCCTGACTGAGTAGGCCTATCACTCACACACCAGGGGACAGGGCTGTCTGTCACAGAGATCCCCACGGATGAGCTGTAGGAAAGAGCCACCTGAATTTTCTTCCCTCACTGAAAAACACCCCTCTCCCCCCACAGTTAACCTATAGATAGCACACCAACCAATTCATCTGTCCACAGCTTTGGATGAGTTTCATTATTCTAACATACTAATTTAGCTTTCATTTTAACTTTTAAAAGGTTATCTTTAGCAAATATTTTTAAAGTCCTGGCAGATAATCTGATTTAGTTCAAATTATCACTGTGATACCAAATTGCCACACTATCCAAATCATACCATGAGGTCTTACTGCAGAAACTCTAAAAAAGGAAGAGATTCAACATTTTGGCCTTTACAGGAGGAAAGTGATAATTTTGTTATAAGCAGTATCATTACTCAAATGATTCTAGCAGTTTCTGGAATGGGTGCTTTATTAACTCAAGGTACATGGTTTACTTTGTATATAATTATGTTGGGAAAGTTAAGAAACAACAGTGGCTGAAGGTGCTCTACACATACAGTAGAAATGTACTATTTGCTATTTTATATGCTGCTGTGGACTGAATGAATGTATGCCCCCCCCCCAATCATATTTGGGAGCCCTAAATTGCAAAGTGATGGTATTTTAGAGGTAAACTCTTTGAGAGGTAACTAGGTCCTGAGGGTGGAGCTCTGGTGAATGGGACCAGTGGCATGTAGGAAGGGACACTGATAGCGCAGGATCAGCTGTGCACACAGCAGGAAAAGGACCCTTAGCAGCGAAGGCACCCAGAGTTTGGTTTTCCACCCTCCTGAAGTATGAGAAACACACACACACATACACATACACACACACGCTTCCTTAAGAAATCGCAAATGGGGCTTCCCTGGTGGCGCAGGTGGTTGAGCGCAGCACTGTGAAGCTGTCCACAGCCTCTGCAGTGCGGGTTCGATCCGGCCGGCCGGGGAGATACCCACATGGCGCAGCAGACCTCTCCTGTCTTGCCCACTGCTCCCTCAGCAGTGTATTTCAGTCAGTCTGCCTGTTCTGTTCCCCGCTCTGTCTCTGGTGAATCCTCTCACCCTCCTGCACATCTGGCCTGTACCCCGTTCTTGTATGCCTGAATAAATCTTTAAAAAAAAAAAAAGAAATTGCAAATGGTTAACTAATATATTTACTGAATTTTCAAATGTTGGTTGAAAAAGTGAAATTCATGTGGCACAAATATGCCCATGTAATTCACACAGTGATGGCACCGTAGTCATTAAAAAGCTAAACTTGTATCCCATCCCAACTAGGGCTCAAGCCCCCCGTACCTAATGTTACCAAAAACCTATAATGAAATAACAAAACACAAGTACATACAAAGAGAAAAGTTATCCAAAGGTTGCAAAAGTGCCAACTTACTGATTTCATTTTCTACTATCTCTTTTATAGAAATACTTATATTCTTTGGAGATTCCTTGACAGTCCTTTTCTTAAATATCATGAGTCCTTTAACACAGCTTATGTCTTCAGCTTGTCCCTTCACACTTCAACCTCAGGGCTTACTGAGGCATCTAGAAACTGGAGGCACAGAGCTTTTGAATGAAGCTCTGTGCTCCCATGTCCTCGAGACTGGTACAGGTATCAGGATTAATATGGGGGTGGCCGCTGAATATTAGGTACATTCCTATGCACTAAAAACACACTGAAAAGCCCTGTTTTCCAGATTTAAACTTTCTCTTCTCACCCACTTGTTACAAAAGACAAAATATTTTTAAGAACTTGACTTTATCCCCAGATAAACCTCCCAGAAACTCTTACTGAATCATTTTACAGCCTATGTTCTGAAAGTGAGTCTCAAACTATTCCATCCATGGGGATTCCAAGAAGTGATTTCCAATGAGTAGAATAAACCTTGATCTCTGCAGAATTCTAGGTAATTAATTCATGCTCCAGTTACATGTAAAGTGCTGAGCTCAACGACCAAGATGTTCCTAAATTGCTTTCAGCCCTAAACAGTATTATCTTTGACTTTGACTTAGTGCTCAACACTAAGCATCTGCCCAGCCATCTAAACAGCCAGGTAAGGGAATATAATACCCAGGAACTAGCAAGCTGGTAGTTATTTTCCCTAGTTCCTTCTAAACAAATAAAAATAACCTCTTCATTAGCCTGTTACCTGAAATAGCCACCAAAAATAAAACCCCAATATTTTTATATTTAGGCAAATGGGGGATGCAATTCTTTTTTCCCTCCTCCTTAAAGAACACAAAGACAAAATAGGAAGATGAAATTATTCATCTGATTGATATTAGTGAATTTAATGTCAATAAAATATTTAGGGTAAAGGTGACAGAGCTACATTATTTAAAATGTTCAGTTGAGGAGAGTCATTTAGTCTACAATTATGTGCTCATCTTTAGATGCTTATTTATAAGTGGTGGTATTTTGCTTAAAACTTTTATAATCAGGATGTAGAAATAATACAAACTAATCACAGCTTTATGGTTAAAAACTGTTTCATGCAGTGTGTGTGTGTGTGTGTGTGTGTGTGTGTGTGTGTATATATATATATACACACAGTCATCAAACATAGAGATTTTTTTTCTTATACTGGCAACTCAAGTTTTATTTTGGAATAAAATAATTTTTGAAAGGAGAAAATATGTTTGAACATTCTCTTCCTTACTTTCATTTTGAAAACTGTTCAATTTTTAAAAAATGTTTAAACCAAGGATTATACAATGAATATATTTTAAAACAACTTTTCATAAATGAGAAGTGATTCACCCATTCCTACCACTCAAATGTTCTATTCAGCGGAATTTTAGTAAAGTTTTAGTATGATCCAGACATAGATTCATAGCAAAAAATAAAGTATCTTTAATTTGGGGGAGGAAAAAAACGTTTTTAAGTGCTACAAATAATTCTTTACAAAATTATCTACATGTTGGCTTATATAGAAATATCTGTATTCAGTTACACTGGGGTATTCGGCGCTCCCGTATCACTACCGAGGAACCTGCTCACGTTTATTTATATTACACCGAAAGAATGGCAGTTCCATAATTCAGTAAGACTCAAAAGTTCAAAAGCTGGGGTCAATACAAACATGCGTTTTGAGTTCTGCTGGTTTGATCACTTGATAACTTAGAAGGGCACCTTCCTTTATGGTCACAAATACCAGGCTGTGGGCTAATTTAACTTCAGTTATTTAACACTTGTAATACTCAGATGGATTTGAAGACATAAACATCTCTGCTAGCACAGGGCTGGGGAGAGGGCTACCTCGCAATACCTAACAGATGGAAGTATGTGCGGGTGGGCACTAGGAGGGAGCATTCTTACTACAGCAAGCTGTAGAGAGGGAAGGAGCTTGAAGAAGGCAACAGATCCCAAATGTTAAATCATTCTCCTATAAACTTCAGATAGGAGGTCCAGTTTCACAGACATTTTAGAATGATATTAAATTACTTCCTCTTCTCTTTTGTTTAATTGTTTAACAGCTAGACACCAAAAATCACCTGACTGAAAAATCTTGAACCCGGAGGTGAGGGCATCAATCTCACCGCAGAGGTGGCATTCTGCTGCAAACTACCTGCTGCCCCCCCCCACCCCCCGCCCTTCCCCATCAGTGCACACGGGAGAGCTAAGCTGACTCAGATATTTAGGGAGGGGGAAAAAGGAGACTAAAACTTGTAAAATATACTTCCCAACAGATCATGCCTCATCGCAGAAGTTGAACATGAGCATTTCCACCTCAGTAAATCTCACATGCTAAAATAACCTAAACTTAAAATAAATCTAAGACTTTATCTATACGTATTATTTAGCACAGAAAAGGAAGTAATATAAAATAGAGATTTGGTATGTTTCTTAAATCCTGTTTGCCAAAATATCTAAAAATAAATCCAAAATCACAAACACTATAATTTAAAAGTTTACTACACAAGTTTTTCTCAAAAGTTCACCAAAACAACCAACTCTTGCCCCACAAAACCCCACACACATATAGGTCAGTAGCTGCAAGATAAAACGTACTAGATTGAGTTCATGTTCACTATGAATTGCTATTGCATTCAAGAAACACAGGTGATATCAGAACAAACCATGTCCACGACCCTCATGTAAACCTGTTAACGACCCGGCAAAATGCCCATCTCATTGGCCCAGCAGAAATGTTTCTTTTTACAACTGTTTTGAGGAACAATGCTTACAACTATACAAAGTTTGAAAATATAAATTTAACAGAGTTTATGTGAAAACAGGGAAACATGAAAGCTGGTAACAGTAGAAGTCTTTGGCTTTCTTACAAACAGTGTCCTTCATGTTGGAGCACGAAGTATTTTTTTCTATGAAAAAATTACATGTCCAGGTCATCACATGTCATCACATGTCCAGGTCGCTGGCAGGCCCTGGTCAGCTGTGGTCTGGCTCGTCACTTTCCTTGTCCCAGTCCTTCATGGACGCTCCCATCATGAAGTCATCCCGGAGGATCGTCCATCCTGGACCCTCTTCTGCTTCCACTGCACTCTGGGGAAAATGACAGAAACCAATATTCAAAGGTCAATTTAATCAGAAGGAAACAGAAAAGTCCAAGCCACAAAAATAAAAATTTGTCAGCACTTAAGTTTTATACCAAGGCCAAAGCCAAGACAAATCATAAGCTATACACTAATCATACATGCACAGATATATTAAAAGAACTACATGTTAATGAAATATTTTAACCCCGTAAAAGAATCATGGAAGCAAAATATCTATTTTATCTTTTTTTTTTTTTTTTTTGCAGTAGGGGGAAAAAATGTAGGACAATTTAGGTTTGGTAACAATTTTCAAAATCTGAAAAAGTGCTTTATTGCACACAATGTGCTTTAATGTTCAGCGATAACTTATTACAAAACTAGATATTTAACAGAATCTTTAACCTAAATTATAGAAGAGAAAAGGAAACTAATGTGGCACTAGGCTAGGCTTTTGCAGATACAATCTCATTTAACATTTGATCAAAGCTTAAACCAAATGTTCTTTATTTAGGTTACAATCTCACTGCCTGTTCCAATCATGCAATCAAAAGACTAAGCACAAGCTAAAACTATAAATAACTGAAGCAGACAATAAACATAGCAGTAGTTAATTCATCTTGTTTGTTTGTAGGATTTATGTAAAACTAGAGCGCTTAGGATATACAGCCTCTGGGTCCATGGTACAACAGTGCCACCTTGTGGTACTAGTTAAATAATACAACATATGCAAATCTCAGCGCCGAGATTTCTTCCCTTCATTCCACAGATAGTCACTGAGAACCGTGTGTCAAGCATTGTTCTCAACACTGGAGATACAGAGATGAATAAAACAAAGTCCCTGTCATCGTGGAGCTAACACCTATGTGCTCTGTTTATTCCATTCACAGGGACATACAATGTTGGAAAAATCTCTCTAAATATGCAAAACCCCATGACTTTGTTAGGAAACAGTGTTATCTTTATGGAGGTCTAGTAATCATATGAAATACAATTTTAAGAAAAAGGACACTAAAGACATTTTCTGGATTCCAAGATACTACTTATCTAATTCTGCCGAAACTTCAGTAACAACAAACAGACCTGAAATAGTCATTACATTTTAAAAGTAGGATGCTACTACAAACAACTGGCCTACTCCTGCTTCCTGGGATCAGAGTTCAGCAGGTCTTGAGCCTCAACAGAGCCTAAAGACTGCACGGATTTCAGCACGGACTCAGTAAGTTACACAGCACACTCTGTACTATAGTTTAACCAACATAAATAAAAAACATCTGCGCTAGTTAAAAACCAACAAGAAAACAGCTCCACTCCTCATGTTGCACGGATAGGAGAGCAATAAAGCAGGAAAGTAATTTATATCTCTCCTCACGAGAGTACGCTAACACCTCTCCATTCCTCATTTCTACAATATCAAGCCTACATTCCTAAAACATTTTCTGCATCTATTAGATTGAGTTACCTGGATAACTGGATAAAAGGCCTTGTCCCCTGATCCAACCCAGATTTTCTTTGCCAATTTCCTCATCTCAAAGAAGAATAGAGCTGGTCCCAAAGAACAGAGACCCACTTAAAAACAACAATTCTAAGACTTCGCTTGCAAAATTAGTAATTGAAAGTTTTCCATTAAATTCTAAAAACTGCATGCTCCCTGGTACAGTCATCACAGGTACTGACTAGTAAAGAGCTGTCCTGACTTGCTATGGGTCTGCTTATCTTAAACAGTCTGTTCAGCCACCATTTTTGTTACCCAAGGTTATGCATTCCTATACAAGACCAGAATGCCCTGGTCAATCAGTTATAGGAGACTAACCCTACAAGGTGCCTTTCCTATCAATCAAGAGCAGAAAGCTTGATCACCCCGGAAAGGATATGCATTACGAGGTATCACCAGGGGTGCCTGGGGGGCTGTTGACTGATATAACAAGGGACCCCAGAAGATGATCAGGGGAACACTGATGATTAAGACTGAAACCATGGCTACGGGTTTAGGGCTTGCTTTCAATCACAATACTGAGTTATCAAACAAATGAGAAGTGTTTGGGGGGCAGACTAACGATCCCTAAAACTATAGATGACATAGCACATTTTCTAGTTTCATCCTTCCCTTTTCTCTTTTTCCTCCTTCCCCACACAACTGATACTCTATGATTATTCTAAGAATAAGGCCAGCATCTTGCTCTTCAAACAGCATCCTGCATTGTAGAGCCTGCTCCACAACTCTATCAGTGTGGTTGCCAATGCAACAACTTGCACGTTTGTATTTACACCCATTCCTGCACAACCTCAGGGGTAAGCTTCACATTTAGACACCCACAGCCAATCCACTATCAACAATGCCACCACCAGAGCAGGCACTGACTGACCCCCACGAAGAGTGAGTCCTCGAGATGTCACGCCACTGGCCAGTTTCTGTTGGATAGCACAGGAGAATAGGGCACCAGCAGAGAATAGGGGGGAAGGGCAGAATGCAGACACAACTTTAAATAGGTAGTTCAGGGGGAAAAAAGAAATGACAATGGATCAAAGGATACATTAATCAAACTGTTGAGACCAGTCTTCTGAAAGATGTTATATCAACATGTACTTTTGGCAAGGAGCAGTAACAGAATAAATTCAGAGCTTCTGTCAACGTCTGATTTGGTGGTGGAGATATTGTTTTTTATGCAGTCACTGCAGTGCACGTTACTGAGTCCCATGGCAGGATGCACTTTACCAAAGAGTGAGAGCAAATCAACCAAGAGAGAGACACAGGGTCCAGGAATTGGAGAACACGCCCAGGAGAAAGCCCAGGATCACAAGAAATTTATGTTGCAGGAGACAATGTGTTGCATCTTAAGAGCAATAAGCAATACCAGACGAGAGAGAATGGGGAATACTGGGAGAAAATGGCTCAAAGATAATCATTTATATATATGTGTTACCTGAGGCAATTTTATTTTGTAAAGCTAAGTAAACTGAGGAAATCAAATATGAAAAGCAAGGCAATTATTAACACCAGGAAAAACACACAGAAAGAAAATACAATGAAGGAATTCTTACAACCATTTGTTTGCAACACTTGTACAGGCATAATAGTAAATGCTGACTATTGATTTAGCAAAATAATATACCACACTGAGGATATGGGAGAAAAAACAAACTTTATAAGAAAATGTAATCTTTATCATTACAGAAAGCCATATATTAACACCATAAATTAATCAAAAGATATGACCATGTGTATATTAATTGGAAAAACAGATTTATACATGCCAACAGCACTAGCTTTGCTACAGGGCAACCCCAATATGAAATATGTTGGGCCCTGTAACAGTTAGATGAGTAAAAAGCAGTTGCCCTGGGGCAGGAGCCATGGAAGGTGGGCAGAATGAGGCAAAAAATTGCTTTACTTTATACTTCTGGGCAAAAAGTATAAAGTACTTTTTGGCCTTTTTACTACATGCATAAGTAAAATTTAATTTTAAAATGGGGGGGTGGGGAGGGGCCTAGGATAGCAAGAAAGGAGCGAAATTATTCTTCAACCATTTCCATAAATCCTAAATTTTGCAAGCCTACCCTAATATCTCCCTGAAGAAACCCTCTGGGTTTTATGAAGCATGATTCTGCTCTCCTTTCTAACTCACTCAATGAAAAAAGGCTAAAAACATGAATTATACAATGAAGTTATTATGTGACAGACACACTACATAATATTGCCTATTTCTAGTAAGATCTCTGGTCAGATATCCATTAACATTCTCATTTATATAAGAAAACCAGGGCTTGAAGGAGGAAAGCAACTTACCAAAGATCAGGGTTAATAAATGGTTGAGTCAATATTCAAACCCAGTCCATTTGATCCAAAGCCCAAGTTCTTTCCACAATACCACACAGTCCAAAACTTACTGAATAAGAAGGCGATATATTACTTATAACCTATAATCTACACAATAGTATGAGTATTAAAATACAATGAAAAAAAAAACAATATGTTTTTAAGATCATTTTATACAGAAGTCAGAACATGGGCAAATTTTATTACACAACGATTTACATAATCTCAACTTATCTTTTTCACAAAGATGATTTACTATTAAGAGAAAAAAGTTCCTAATTCCTTTCAGGACACACAAAGGGAAGACCGCTCAGAGATTAATATAAGGAGAAAACTTAAGGCAACATGCAAATGTGACATTCATTGGAAAAGCCTGCCTGGGGTGATTCCTAAATATAGTCCAATAAATGTTCTGACATCATGCATGAGAACCAAGGGCTTTTGTCTTGTTTGTAAAATGGAAGGAGTAGCAATTTGATGCATTATTTTTATAACAGGAATGAAAACCAAGAGAATTCTGGATTTGAATGTGAATTTATGGCATTTAACTACTGACTCCAACACTGCAAATCAGAAAGCTTTAGACGTCCAGAAGTTTAAAGAAATTAAAGGCTCTTCTGAACCTCTTAACTTTGGTATAAATATAAGGTAACCTGTATAAATATACAGGTAACCACACCATACATGTTCATGATCATCTGTGGAAGCCATGTTGACATCTAAGCACAGGCTGGAGTGAGCAAAATTTACAACTTATGAAATCTGTCAGATTCAATGACCTGAAGTGACCTACAAGATAAGACTTTGTACCTACATCAGCAGCAAAGTGAAAATGATTAAATGCAAAACAAAAACCACACGACACAGGAAACAAAATAATCCAACCCTCTCACTGGCCTGGATTTATACAAATATTTAATCAAAATCATACAGAAGCAGTCTGTGTCAATTTTGAAGATGAAGACAGCCCTTAAAAATGTTAATCAACTTCCATTTCAAGCTTCAAACAACATTGGCAGCTACTGAAAAGAAAACTGAAAACAGATTGGAATTATTCATTAATCTAACACCAAATAATTAAAGGATTTATCCTCATTTTAATTTTGAAAGGGAAAAATTAGTCAAATCCTAAAAAAATAAACAGCATAATCACATCTATATTTAGCAATCAGCAACAGTTGATTTCATTGTTT